AAGCCCAGTAAGCATCAGTATACATGTTAAATTTTAATATAATACTTTGTTCAAAAGAAAAAAAAATTGAAAAGCCCAGTAAGCATCAGTATACATGTTAAATTTTAATATAATACTTTGTTCAAAAGAAAAAAAAAATTGAAAAGTATCATCAAAAACACTTAAACATAAGACTCTATATTAAAGCATTATATTTTTTTGTGTTTTTGTTTGTTTGTTTGTTTGTTTTGGATAGTTGGGTTACTATTAATTTCCTTTGAGCTTCCACCTTCCCCATTTTTCTCAATAGAAGGGACTATAGTTAGGAAATTTTTTTTAAAAAGCACATTCATGCTTTACAAAACTTTTCAATGATCATTACTTTCAGATGTTTCCTTACAAAATGACTCATTTTAAAATGTGGACTAAATCTTACTTCAATCTAGCTATACTTATTTTCTAGAAGAGAGGTATAATTTTGCAATGGTAAATTTCCCTAAAATGACAAAAAGGCATCATTAGACCAGAAACAGAACCTAAGGTCTATCATGGCTAAGTCAAAACTCACAGCCACTAACCTTCCTGAGCATCTGACCCTGAACCTCTCCTCAGGGCTCTGTAAGAGTCGAGCCAGAAAAGCACAGCTCTCCTTAGAACACGATACACATCTCTAAAACACTTGTGCATTGGTCTCCCAGATGATAAATTCCCTCATGGAAGGAACTGTGTTATTCTTTTATAAATCTTTACTTAGCATATATAGCCCCTCAATAAATACTGACCAAGTAAATACAGCTGTACCTGGTACAGCACATGCAGGCAAGCTTTGCCCTACCTTAACATGCCCTCCTTGGTATAAGTGATTTTAAAGCTAACCTAGCAAAGTAGCTTTTCCTCACTGAATTGTCAAAATTATACATACAAACACATGTACACTCTTAAGTATCCTTTGACCTAGATACTTAAGAAGTGTATTATAAAAGTCATTTTGTTCAATTTTACAGAAGTGAAAATATCTACAAAAATTAAAAACTAAATCTTAATTGTTCACCTATCTTGACTTCCATTCAATGTAGCAAAAGAAATGTTAAAGTCCCTCAAAGTTTACTATGATGAAGTTTGGATTACAAGTCACTAAAGCAATGGCATACAGCATGGGGAAAACAGACCACCCCTCAAAGAAAGCAGTCACGCGATTATTAAAATACACAAAGGAATGAACAGGTAGAAGTAATGTTGCTTTGTGGGAAATTCTAATTTAATATGATTGGCTAGAAAAGATGCAAGAAAACCTACAAATGTAATGCTACAAATGATTTTATGACTTTAAAATCTCAGGACTTCTGGGATGAGGAAGTGGGGAGTATTATTTCATGGGGACAGTTTCTGGTTTAGGAGACTGGACAGGTTTGCAGAAGGCTGCAAAAAGATAAGGATGCACTTAATGTTCCTAAATAATAACCTAAAAATGGCTAAACTGATAAATTTGTTATGTATATTTTATCTCAATTTCACCTGGTCTATATATTGTGTATGTTTCAAACGCCAAGCTGAGATCAGCATTCTTGAGGATGTTCAGCAAGGTTTCAGGAGTCTCTCTGAGCCACTGCTTACGAGTGTTATTTTCACTGTATTTTATCACAGAACCTCCTAGTTGTGAAAAGATAAAAATTAGTACTCATTAAAAAGATTTTCAGCATATATCTTCCAAATCATACTCCAGAGTTAGTTCTATTTTACTTTCTACTAAAATATTTCATTCAGGCCCTCCCTGGTGGTAAAAGGGGTTAAAGCACAGCCACAGCAGTCAGGGAGCTGACCCACATGGCACAGCAGACCTCTCCTGCCTTGCCCACTGCTCCCCTCAGCAGTGTATTTCAGTTCATCTGCCTGTTCTGCTCCCCACTCTATCTCTAGTGAATCCTTTCACCGCCCCTGCACCTCTGGCCTGCACCCCAGGTCTTATATGTATAAATAAATATGTAAAAAGAAAATAAAGGATTTCACTTGCTTATACAAGGAGTGTTCTGGTGTGGGAATACCAAAAATCCTTCAAGGAAAGGCATTAAAAAAAATCTCTAGCCCATGAAACAACTAGTAGAAAATGTTCTAGAATAAAATCAACTTTCAATCTGACTACTAACCTTTGTCGTCCCCTGCTGTTAAACTGGAGCTAAGTATGGGTGCATTTTCCAAAGCTGAAAGAGCTGTACTGGGTACATTTTTTCCCCATTGTCGTCTGACAGGACTTGGTGAGCTGGCTTTCCTTGAAAGGACTGATTTCTTATCTGATTTTAAAATGTAAAGTAGGATTGTTAAACATATTCTCTTGTTTGTTCATCTATATCCACATACACACTCTGAGAATAATATGGAAATATTTCTCTTCTTTTTCAAACTCAGATCTAGCAACAATATTCTTTTAAGCCTAATTATTAAAGGAAATGGAAAAAATCCAATTGAAGGTAAAACTAATAATTGGAAGGAGTTTTAAAAAATATTATGCATTTACTTACATATTACCCCTTAACAAAAATGAAACCCCAATAGGGCTCACATATGCAGTGAAGGCTATGCCTTTTATGGTGCAGAGTACAAAAATTACTGTTTTTTTTCCTAAAGGCACTTATTAATAAGTACTACCTCTTTTTTTTCTGAGGAAACAAAAATATTTCTGTTACAATAAATAAATTAGTAGATGAGCAAACAAAATCTACTTGTCCACCTACTTATGACACTTAAGAACTAGGAAGGTGGAAACTGGCACACTTTCGCCTTCCCCAACCCCTTAGTACAATGATTAGAATTTGGATAACTCACCTTTCTCATCTCTGTTCACTCTCTTCAATGCACTTTCAACCAAATTCTTATTAATGTTTTCTAAATCACTGTGGCTACACTTTCTACCTTGTTCTTCCTCTTGCTTTAAAAGATTTGAAATACAGATTAAAAACGCTGGATTGTTATAAAAAAGGTAAAATAGTATATTAAGTCAGTGACCTTCATTTTAAATAGAATAATTAAAAGACATTAATAACTGTAAAAATGCATATATACACGTATATTAACAATATTAACAGTCACATAGATATGAATGTGCATATTAAACACAATAATATACAGATGTATATTAATATTGACATATATTAATACCTACAAATATAAAATTGCAGTTATGGAAAGGCTATATAAAAATGATGGTGATATTTCTTTAGACGGAAAATAAATCATGAAAAATTTCAATATAGTTTGAAAATCTAGATTTTCATGCTAGAAATATCAACCTGAGATATTTTATACAGTTGCTATTTATGATAAGAATATTCTCACTTAATTCAGTAATTTTCCAAATTATCTAAACTTGCTTTCACAAAGTGTAACAATACACTGTCTGTTCTTTACTAAGTCTGTATCTATTCTGAGCAGGAATCTATTACCCAAGCGCTTAGACAGTCTCTAGTCTGTAGCTTCTCAGTCTGCGGAATGAATAAGGCTGTGGCTGGCACCTGCTGTCTAATTTCTAATTTCTCTCCCTTTACATTTAGGGGCCATATTTCAAAGGATCCTCCCACCAACAAAGGCATCAGAATTTTGGTGGGGTCTTGCTGAGTAGATTTTAAAACCTCTCAGGGCTCCCCCCCTGTGGGTCACTGCTCTGAGACAGCAGCTTCATCCGTCCCGGCTCAGCACCCAAGTCCTGCCTCTACACCCTGAACCTCACTGGCCTGCCCCGGACACTCTTCCTACCTCTACTCTTCTGTCACCTGACTTGCTTTTTGATTCTTTCTCCATTCAGTATATGCATCACCCTCTTCATTCCCTAAAAACTCACTGATGTGTCCACATGAATGGTAAATTGTGGTGGCTGCCAGGGACCAGTCAGGATCACCTACACGAGCCATGAGGAAACTTTTAGGAGGTTGAGAATTTTACATCTTGATTGTGGCAGCAGTTATACATCTGTATGAAATTCCTAAAATCCAACAAACTGTACACTAAAAATGCATCCATTTTATTGCATATGAATTATGCCTCAAGAGAGCTTGGAAAAAACTGACATAAGCATGTAAAGAAAGCAAAGTACACAGGCAGGAGACAGTCCCCTGTGGCAACACAATAATAGGGCGTTCTAAAATGTACAGGTTTAGTTAATAGTACTTCCCATAAACAGAATAATATGTTGTGAGTATATCTCAGCAGAACTCCATTTTTGAGTTAGAATGATTAAAATACTGAAGAAAAAAAATCAATAAGACATGATTTGTTGAGGTGGGATGACAACACTGGAAGTGGGTTGGTTGTTCCTGTTCCTAGCTCTCCTGCTGCCTTTGTGTCAGAGAGCTCCCAGAACACCAGGCAAAGCGAGGAGAATGGGACTTTGACTGCCAGGCTAAAAAATGTTAACTTAATTTATGGAAGACTATGGGGTTACTAAATGTCTTTAAAACCGAAAAATGTTTTATATGTTTAAATCATGTTTAAATATGATTTATACAGAAACAAGAAATCTGATATGGCTGTAACATGGATGAATCTTGAAAATATTACGGGATGTGGAAGAATCACAAAGAACACATATTGTATGACTCTAAGGCAAATGCATAAAGCAGGTAGAAGAGGGAGGTCAGAGGTGGGTGAGAGAGGAATATGGAGTCACAGCTTACAGTGACAGTCACTGCCTGTGGTGATGGGGCAGAGTGGAGAAGGTTACCCAAAACCATGCATGATTCAATTCGATGTTGAAAGATGGTAAATTTTGTTAAGTATGTGGAACAATTTTATAAAAAAGCCAAACTAAAACGAGATTTCCATGAATGCAGGGCTAAGGTCTCTTAGATCTGTGTTGAAGCCATTTGTCAGAAATAATTAAAAATGAAAAGGCAAACAAAATAAATGGTGATCTAAAGAGGCTCGGCTGGCCGTGTAGAACAGCAACTACCAGTTACAACAGAGGCAAAAATGGAAAACTAGTGAAATGGGAGATCTGGTCAGTCTTGCAAGCGTCTCACAGCACCTAAAGGTACCAGGTACCCAGGAGGCGGCCACTATATCAATGTAATTTTAAAGAACTTACCATTCTGCTGCCTTCATTTTCCAAAGCTATTCTGATTCTGCTAGGGTCTGCTTAAAAGGAAAAGGGAAGATCAAAGAGAATGCATGTAAAGGTCCATGTTCCTAAGCTACTAATGTGATAACACAAAAGTTCGAGAGACAAATGAAGTTTTTAAAGTCAGAGAACCAAAGCATTAGCCTAAACAGTGTATCAGCCTTAATTGCTTAAAAATACACCTCAACTGCTGAAAGACACTATTTCTGCTATTTTATTCCTAACATAAAAATCTCAAAATTAAGCCACCTCTATTCCCTGATGCACTTGGAAGGAAGCTGCTCTGCCTATTTGAAGGTCAGCATCACTTTCAGCACATGTGAGCTCCAAGAGTCAGGAGCACTGCTGTTCCTGCCGGTTCCAGTAGGGGGAAGAGGTGTCCCTTGAAAGTGAACTGTCTATTCCCTCCCATGTCTGGAGGGAAAGCTGGCCAGCAGTCAGAGACCTCAGCTGTTGGTGAGGATGGCTTCAGCCTGATTCTCCTCTGGCAGGATCCTGCCTTCTGCCACATCTTATTCATTCCACACTTAAAAAACTGATCCGGACTTGTAATAAGGGAGATGCAAATTAAAACCACAGTGAGATACCACCCCACCCCAGTGAGAATGGCACACCTTAAAACAACTGGCAACAACAAATGTTGGTGAGGATGTGGAGAAAACGGAACTCTCCTGCACTGCTGGTGGGAATGCAAACTAGTACAACCACTATGGAAAACTGTCTGGAGGTTCCTCAAACTGCTAAACATGGAGCTTCCCTATGACCCAGCAATCCCACTCCTAGATATCTACCCAAAAGACACAAAAACACTGATTCAAAAAGATACCTGCACCCCCATGTTTACTGCTGCTTTATTCACAATTGGAAAGACATGGAAACAGCCTAAATGACCAAAAATGGATGACTGGATTAAAAAGATGTGGTATAGATACACGATGGAATATTACTCAGCAGCCAAGAAAAATGAACACATGTCTTTTGCAGCAACATGGATGGAGCTGGAAGGGATCATGCTTAGTGAAATAAGCCAGAAAGAAAAAGAAAAACACAGGATGGTTTCACTCATAACAGGAGTGTAACAGACCAGATAGCAAATAATAATAATAATAATGAACAGCTATATACCAGAAACATTTTATGGGAGTGGAGTGGGGAATGGGATCAAAAACAGTGGGGGGAGGGAAATGCACTGGACTATGGTGATGGGTGATTTGGTGATGGAAGCCCACGAGGATTACACTGAGATGGAAAAAGGCATAAAATGGGTTAAAAATAAACTATTGTATTATTAAAAAAAACTGCACCAGGACATGGAGGATGAAGAACTGGGACACAACCATGAGCAGCTTGCTGGCCTTGCTCTGGCCTTCCGTGGACACACTGTGGAGACAGCGCTTCTTTTCTAGAAATTGTAAAACTACATTTTTCTAAACTTAGAAGGTCTTGACTGCTGTTGCTCAGCATTCTAAAATGAATTTCCGATGACTCTGGGAAAGCAACCAAAGCAACAGAACAGTACCTAAGGTTACATGAACACTGAAACAAATTCTGAAACAAAAGGAACCAGTTATCACTTAAACCATGGGGGAAAACTTGAATTAAAAGACTAATGAATTTATACATCATTAGAAGCATTAAATTGTTACGAAAGAACATTAAAATTTAACTTTAAGAAGAGAGTACAACTTTCTAAATGTTTCTTTTGTAGTAGAAAGCACTAAGACAGTGAGCTCTGAGTAAGGGAGGCTTGGCAATCCACCCCAACAATGGATTGCTATGGATGGTCCATAGTTCTTAACTTCTTTCTCTTATTCTGCTCATATCTAATATCAGATGTCTTCAAATGGAAGATATGGTGACAAATGAAAAGAACAAAACTAGTTAAAAAATAAAAACAAAAAAACTGAGAAGTGACAATTTCCAACAAGACGGTAAGTTACTTTTGAAATGTGTTCAGGGCAGAAGTGACAATTTCCAACAAGACAGTAAGTTACTTTTGAAATGTGTTCAGGGCAGACTATGAAAATTCTGTGTAGTTATGTGGAATTCCCAGCTTTTGAATAGACTGTTTTACCAGATAGTTCTTCAGAAATGTAAAGATACAATTTTCTGTAAGAATAACATTATGTGGTCCCTCCCTAGTGGCACCAGGGATTAAAGTGAAGCTCTATGATGCTAGCCGTAGCTGCTTTAGCAACTAGTTCGATCCCATCAGGAAGGAGAACCATGTGGCACAGCACACCTCTCCTGCCTAGCCTGTTGCTCCTCTCAGCAGTATGTTTCAATTGATCTTCCGATTCTGTTCCCCACTCTGTCTCTGGTGAATCCTCTCACCCCCTGCACCTCTGGCCTGTACCCCTGTTCTGTTTATAAATAAATAAGTTACAAATCTTAACGATTTATAAATTAATATTTTAGAAAAAGAATAACATTAGGTTATTATCATGGTTAGATTCCTGAGTCAGTCCACAGATGCCTTTTCCCTAATCCATAACAAACCAGAATAAATACGGTACTAACAATGACACAGAAAACAATCTTTATGTCACTAAAATCTCCAAATGAGACTTTTTTTATTCCTGGCAAACTAAATGTATAAGAATCAGAATATAATTAGGTCTGAAATAACAAAATGAACATTTTAATTTGAGGAGTATCTCTGCAAATCATCTCTAATAATTTGTAAAATATTTTTCCTTTTTCTGTTATGTCACATTGTAAACTAATTAAGAAAAGCCTCTCCCCAAAATTCTTACCTTTCTTACTTGGTGTACTATGGTTAGATTTTTTTGTTTCCTCTAATACCTGCTCTCCATATTCTGTGATGATCTGAAAAGTTTAAGTAGACAATTTAAAGACATGAAACGCACTTTTCTTAAGACCCTGCTTAATGTCATTTAATTGTCAACATTCTTCCCCACAATGATATTTAAAGTTGTAAAGTAAAAATGCCATTTAAAAAAATCATGTGAAAAATAAATAAATAAATCCATGTAATTTAGAAAGACTTTTATGTATGTCTAGAAAAAGATTTGGAAGGGCCCTCCCTGGTGGCGCAGCGGGTTAAAGCACAGCACTGAGAATCTAAAGCCGCTTCCACATGAGTTCGATTCCCCCCTGCCCCGGAGGTG